TATTTACTGTGTGTCTGCAGGTGCTGCAGTCACAGTATGTGTATACTAAAGCATTATTTACATTTTAACATCATAATCCTGACAATCTGAGCTGTCCTGTCAGTCTTTTGTCTTGAAGTGATCTCTTCAGAGTCTGAATGAACAACAAAACCCTCTGTTCTCATTAGAACTTCTCAGTCTGTGTCACTAGGAGGAGGTCAATGTGAAGAAAAAAACAGAGATACAAAGAACCAGTTCCTGCTAACATTTTGTTGATTTCCAAATAACATTTGCTACAATCAAATAACGTCAAATAACCAAAACTAATGTTTAGTCTTAATTATAAAAAGGTAATCCCATGTGATCTACTTTCAAAACTTCGTAGATTAATACACCAAATAAGGCCATGGTCGACCACAGAGTTATATGCAGTACACTCAGCTGTCAGCTGGTGGCGGTAGTGCACACTTCCGTGTTTTTACCAAACCGTCAATTAACTCAAGAAGAAGAAGAGGCGGAAGAAGAACAGCAGAACGAGGCTGAACAAAAGGTAACTAAATTTGTATCAGCGTGTGTTTATTACACAGTTTTATGCTGTGATCGGTGAAACATTCTGATTATTAAACCCCGAAGAATTGCTGCCTTTGTAGCTAATCTACCAACATGCTAATGTTGCTACGTTAATCATTTTAGGAAATATATCAACTCATWTATGATAATCACTGAATAAACATTAAAGTCCTGACAGTCTGACTCCCAACAACAAGATATTTTCTATAAATGTTAATCTAACTGCGTTTATTGTCAGTTTCAGTTTAGTTGTGTTTATGTGAAGCTAACTTCCGGTCGGTATCTGTTCTGGTTAATGAGCGAGGTTAGTTTTACTAGTCCGACTTGTTTTTTAATTAGTTATCAGTAATGGTGGCTTAATGATAGTTAGTTAAAGTTATTATTGGTGATTTTAGGTTAGTTTATTTTAGTGCTGCTGGATTATGCTCGGTAAAGTACTAAAGTTAACATTTTAAAACTTTTATTTTGAAAGTTWGTGAAAATAAAGTGAAAGTAACAAATATCCCACAGTGTCCAGATCCGCTGTTTTCTATTTGTTTTACTTGATATAGTATTTCAAAACGTAGATACTGAAAAAAATAATAAAATTCTGCTGCTTTTATCAACTTACCTGAGGTGGCTTTTTGAACTGAATTTAATTTGAGGCTTTTAACAAGATAAATGTTTGAATTGTGTTAGGATGACTAATGAATAGGCCAGTCAATATCCTAAATGTGGCTTAAAGTCTTTTAAAGCTTTTTCTAATTTCACTTTGTGTTTGTGGGGATTTGTAAATCCGTGTTTGCAAATTAAAACTGCATTTTATAAATGTAAATGTTGAACAASTAGAAACTGCAGGCGAACTAAGATTAGTTACAGATAAATGTATTAAAATATTCTTTTTTATTTTGTTTTATGAGATTGATTTCACATTTTGTTTTATTAAATGACATAAAATGTAGTAACATTTATAGTATTGTAGATTATAATAGATTAAAGGCCATAAATGTGAGTTCAATGTTTCAGTTTGGGGTCACGGCTGTGARCTTATGTTTTAAATGAATAGAACAGAATACACCTTCATTGTCCCACACAGGGAAATTCAGGTGTAGCATCAGCAGCAGATACATACATTAATCCACAGAAATGGTATATTATTATGTGGCATTATCAAGCGGAGCAATAATAATAGAAATTAAAGACAGTAACAGTAAAAAATAAACATAGAACAAAATAAAAGTAAGAATAATCATTACTGTAACAGGC